GAGAAATATGTAGTCGTTACTGTTGGTAAACTAAGAAATTAAAATTATCTTAAATTATTAAATTCATAATAGAAATTAGGCTACGTTTGTTTTTTTCATCAATTCACCAATATAAGGAAAATGTTCCAAAAATTATCATTTCAAATTGATACATATTTTTGTTTTAAATTACAATCAAATAGGTAAGGTATGTTCTATTATTTCATGATAGTTACTTTCATTAACATAATTGTTTGGAACGTTAAATATACCTAATTTTATTATTTTTAAAATTTTATTTTTATTAGTATTAGAAAAATCATTTTGCATTGTTAGGTTAATATATGTATTTAGGACTAATCTAAACCTTTAAGTTTGTCGGACATCTTGAGATATTACTGTGTTTACGGCCGAAAATATTGTTAACAGCGAAGATAACTAACTAATAAAACAATTTATCCTACTCTTTATAAATAAGATCTTGAGAAAAATAGATTTAATTAGTTAACGTAATTGCCAATATCAGGATAAATTTTAGTTTTGCTCTGAAAAGGCAATTTGTTTCACCTGAAGTTGATATTAATTAAAAAAATTAATATTTTTGTAAGTTTCTTCCAGCCAAAAAGAACTAAATGCAGTTTCTCATCTGTTGCTAGCAAAAAAAATGTATACATGGAAGACAGAATGTTATTATAACGATTTTCAGCAGTTTGTGTGTGCAAATGAAAATTAATCATTAATAAAAATTCCTGTAAATGTTAGAAACAGTTCAAATGAATTCGGAGCTAGAGTGATTAAGCATACCTTTTAAGAAAGATCTTCCAGGTTCTGAGTAACGTTTGAAACTACATCTATAAACGATTGAGCTCAGTTTGATGACAATGATTACGCACTATTTACTGTCTGACCCTCAATCGCTATTACAACAAGCTTTTATGAAAGATGGCGAGATCACTCTCAGACCATACATCTTGACAAACTTTCCACAGGCCAGTCACTGTATGTGGACGTCAATTTCAAAGAAAATTAAAAAATCAATGTTAAGGGGATCAAAAGTACAAAGAATTAATGAAATTGACTTGGAGGCATGTGGTCGAGTACAACTGTGTTGATTTCAGTCTTTCAGTTATCTTTCTTATGAAAACAACCGATGGTTTCGACATGTGGCTAGAAGGTCCCATACTTGTGGATATCATTAATGAACAACGAATAATAGTAAATTTTATTATGAGATCAAACAAAAGCATTCTCATTTCTTTTTCTAGCTGCTTTTTTTTCTCAAGTCAAATACTTAGTTATATGACAACTGATACTGTGATTACACCAGAAACATGAATGTTTGTAAATAGCATTTTATACATACTTAGCTACACTTAAAACACTTTTAGCATAAAATGTAGTTGAATAGAAGGTACGAAGTTTTTCCAGCTCTTTCGAACAGTCAACTGCTTCAGTCAAAATATCGTAACTGTAATATTTAACACAAGAAAATAAAATATATGTTTGCCTAATAAACTGTAACTGAATATATGTTTTCGTTTAATATATTAAATGTGAATGTAAAATAAATTGTGACTCAACTTCTAAATAATGCCTAATACTAGTTTCTACTTATTATCTATACGTATACAATATTTTTCTAAATATTCTTGTCTCATGACATACTGGAAAGAGGAGAGGTCACGCACAAGACAAAAATTACTTTGCTAGTCTCAGCACTCTGTGGCTTAGAAACCTCGATGTTTCTACTGAGCTCAGTAATTAACGAACAACAAACGTAAGATTAATTGAAAGATCACGAGGGAAGAAGAAAATATTCTGATACTTTTCACCTTGAATGATGCAGCAACCATTTTTATTCTTCTTGTTACCAAAGAACGAACCTTGAATGATTCAGAATATTATATACATTGTTTGTTTGTTTGAAATTAAGCACAAAGCTACACAATGAGCTATCTGTGCTCTACCTACCACGGGTATCGAAACCCGTATTCTGGCGTTGTAAGTCCGCAGGCATACCGCTGTGCCACTGGGGGCATATATATATATATATATATACAAACTTTTGTATCAACCCTCTATTCACCTGGATTTTTATGTCTTATACATTTTTATCACTTTTCTGTTTCACGCTTTTGTTATATTTGGAATATTATTTTATTCCTAATAACTTAACTCTATCCGCTCTTTACAGCAGTCTTAAGAAAATATCATTTGCCAATAAGCAAATAATTTTACTAGGCCAAGAGCACTCTTTAGCAGGAAAAGTATGAAATGAAACGCAAGCAATCCACACTCATAAACATTAAGTAGGAAATTAATTAAACAAAACACATCAGACATAATAAATGACTGGGGCCAAATGCACGGATGACAAAGTCATTATTATTCTTCACAACAAAAATGAGATTGTGTTATAAAATCCCATTTTCATAGAAAATAATTACATCTAAATTAATACTAAGAAAACGTTACCTTGTATAATTTCATTACATTTCGCCATTTATGTACATAATATCTGCTAACAATATTTATGCGGTGTGAAGATCTACCTCACCATGATGGTACAATAATAATGTTGAATAGTGGAAGCTTAAACTAAGCATAAAAACTGAATATTGTGAACTTAAACTTACTGAATTATATATACCACTAAACTCTTCCACATAAAATACTGAGTGCAAAACACAGATATTTCGCCAATTCCTTGCTACAAAATCCATCAATATTAGTAAAAATACTTATTCACCAATATAAACATATATATTTTAATAATTGTTAAAACATGGACAAATTTACATTGCTTGTAAAGCTTTAGGAAATGCAATTCCTTCAGGTTGATAAATGTTTCATTTGACCGTTTAGGTATAATATCAATCATGTGATTTAAGTATTTAATCATTAAATTTTTATAACAAGTACCAATTGACGACAATACACTCAAAATATAAGCAGTTTTATATATGTATACGTAGTGTCTGAAAATCTATGATCGATAAATCTTGGAGAAACGAATTCTGATACGCAGGAATCCCCATTAATTTTCCTAATTTGTTTACATTTAACTTCAAACGCAATGACGAAAGATTACACTATTCCCGGTTTTGTTACTCATGCTTCTGTTTCAAAACAAATGGTACAATCATAATTTCTGTCATAAAAATCACAAAATTGTTTCGGTATGTCATATACATTCATCAATAATGATTACACTACTCAACACCAAAGGTTTCAGCTAAACCAACTTCTGCTACTATTTTTGCAAACATGCTTGCCCTTTCAGCCGTGTGGGCGTTCATTATGTGACAGTCAATCCCACTATTCGTTGGTAAAAGAGTAGCCCAAGAGTTAGCGGTGGGTGGTGATGACTAGCTGCCTTTCCTCTATTCTTACTCTTCTAAATTAGGGACGGCTAGCTCTCGTATAGCTTTGCGCGAAATTCAAAACAAACAAACTGTTCTTGTAACATAACACTTTCGGATGGAAGGCTCGAACGAAATTGTTCCCAAGTTTTTTTTGTTTTTTTCTAGAACAATAGAATAATTACAATGTTATATAGGACGTTTAAACAAAATGTATTACGTTGTTTTAGTGGAAGAAAAAGAAGAACTATTAATATTCCCAAACACAATTATCGTATACTCCGTCTTCATACAAAAAGGTTCGACATTAAAATTGTTTCAATTTTTCTGCTGACCCATTCATTCTCTTTTACAATAATATCGCCTTTAAAATATGAAATATAATTTGGTGAGAACAATTAGCATACGTATCTGTTAAGTAAAGAATCTTTACAGTCATATAATACGTGATATTGTAGAGTTTATTGTTATGCTCCTCATTTGATAAAAATGTATCGTAAATTAAGAGCTGGTGTCAGGCTAGTGTTTTAATAAGAATATTGAAGGTTATACATGTTACTTAATGCTTTCTGAATTATTAAGAAGATGAAATGTCCATTATATACACTATGCTAGAAGAGAAAGAAAGGTTATTTGTAATTTATGACATAAATGCCCTTGAGCCAATCAGTATTTGTCGTAAAATAACATTTACTGTCAAACGTTAGACTTTCGATGCTCTTCAATTAAGGACAGCTATAGATAGGTTGAAATTGTTGTTTTTATTACAAATACGATATAAATATTTGAATAAAACGATGAAATACGACAGGTAGCCGTAAATTATTAAGAAATAAAATCACTAACGATAACCAGAAAAGACGTTGCCATATAACACATATTTAGGCGATATATATTACTTTTTTAGTTAATTCACTTGTTTTGGCCAGAATCTGTTTTCGATGTAACAAACTTGAATATTTACTTTATTATTTTGATAGAATAAATCATTTCTGAATATAGAAAATATTTCACTGTCATAGTTTTTTTCGTGAAAAAGTCGCGATGCAGGTGATAAAAGGTCATAAATATAACGTTTTGTACTCTTCAAAAAATATTACTTAGGTTTTTATTTTAAAAACATATTTGCAACAAAATATCGCCATCTTAACTTAAGCGTATCTCATACAAATAACTCAAAATAATATGATAAATAATCAATATAAATTATGTTCTTCTTTGTAATATTGAACATATAAATAAGTATGCTTTAAATATCAAGAAACCGAATCTTCATATCATGGATAAAATGACTGATTTAGAAATTAGTTTCTTCAAACTAATATCATTAGGCAGTTGCTTTCATGTTATAAGTTGTGACAGTAGAAAGACATTGTAACATAATTTTATCATATATGAAAAATTATATTTCTTCTCCCCATACAAAATAAAACTTTTGAAAACACTATAAACTTAGTAAAAAAAGTATAAAAAATATATTAAATAGCATTATTCCTATCAGACATTAGTTACTAAATTCTCTCTACTACAAAGTAAATCATTTTGGCCATTTCATTAAACATATGTTTTCTACAAATACATATAGATATATGAGTATTGTCGAAAAGTGTTTTTGAATTTCATGCAGTGTAACATATTCACAAACGGTCTGATTCTTACCTAAAAGAAGAGCAAATGCAGTGAGAATTCCTCCTATTAGCGACATATTTGGTTACATCATTTCACCTTCTGTTTTATGCTATGTTTCAGGTTTATTGTTATTTTCCTCTGGAAAAAGAATATGATTTGGTTTTCTGGTTCAGTCCAGTCTTTCTTTTATAGTCCTGCCAGTGGTATTTTCTTAGAGTGAAAGGCTTAACCTAAGAGGACCTCCTAGGAATATCCACTTAATGGTCTAAACTGCTATAGGTAAAAATATTGAGACAATTCTATTTTATGCAATATATGTATATAGCTTATTCTAATGAAATTAAACGAAACTTTTATTTAATTTTAATTCGACGTAGAATTTAATTTCGTATTATTTATTGTAGTTATAACAGTTCAATAACTATATTTATATTCACTCTTTAGAATTAACTAGATTATTCTACCAAGCTAGAAATTTACATTCCAATAAGAGACTCTCCACGACGTAACGCTGTTATCTCGATGTCTGCGGCCCGTCAGACTACCAAGCCGCCTGGACCAACTCCTACTATTATTGCGCCGTTAACTATCGATCCATTCGTTTGCACTCTGAACGAATACGCAGACGCAAAGAGACACACAAATGTTGTTTCTCCTATGTAGAGGGGTGGTACTCATGCGCTCTTAAATAACCGGTTCGTCGATTCCCAGATAACTCTCCTTATATCACTGTTTGTTATTCATTCGTGAGAAGAGTAAAATTGTAAAAATGAAGTTTTTTACAGGCCGTGGGATCCAGATATAAAATAAAACTAGAATACATACGAAATTTATCTTAATTACATTACATGTTCTTCGAAAGGTTAAAGCATGTTTTTCAACATTTTGTTTCTCGCTTCATTTATTTCGTTAGTTTTAATTTTACAACTTAAATGAAGAACCTGAATTAACTTTAACAATTCACTGATGAATTAATTCGTACATATACGGCAATCTATTTTAACGGGCTTATCCCGAGAAGTGAATTTAATTAATGTATCTTTCCATTAATTGGCTTACCTAAACACAACTCCTGATAATCTAATTAACATGAAAAATAATTATAGTAAAAATTTACCTCCCGATATTTTTACAGTGTAAAAAAGTTGTTGTTTTTTCTAAAAAAATGACAAACTAATTTATTCATAAAAGATAATTCAATTTGTAAACTGATGTGTAGAAAAGAAATTTCATAAACAATGTGAAGATATAGTAATTTATGATATTATTACAGAAGCCAAACGTATAGGAAGCTCTTTAAACACTTGTTTACAGTTAATTATCAACACTGAAAATACTGCTTCTTGAGATCAGCTATTCTTTATGTCTGATGCACTAAAAGCAAGTTATATTACCGAAAACAAGAGCTCACTTAGCCCTCTAACAATATTTCAACCAACTTATAAGCAGTATTTGGTTTAAAATTATGAAATTAAATAGACATCCGTTATTTGTCTCTTAAGAGAAAACGTTTTTAAGAACATGTACGGGCAGATTAGTTACGAATATCTTGACAACCACATTTATGGAGTACGTCGGAAAATACATGAAAATATAATAATAGGTATTTTTCATATGAATGACTTGTGAAGTGACAAAAATCCGTCTTAGAATCCAATGACCTTTGTTCAATGTTGTGTTATTCCGCAGTCTCCTAGCTCCAGTTTTTATATGTATTAAGCGAATTATTTGAAAGCTTTAAGAATTACAGTCTATATGTTTTGTGTTACTGGCAGTTTAAGTAACCACCAAAATCATATAGTTTCTTGTATGAGAAGTACTCTATAATAAAAAAGTAAAGAATACTTATAAGAATCGAGATATTACTATATTAATACAACACGGGTGGAGTAGATATGATTTATATGGAAAACCCTGGTTTTTTTCACATCAATTTCCTATAACCATAAACTTTGCTTTCTGTTCATTCAGCCTTTCACCATAAGTTTCCAGATCCACAAGCTCATCACGAATACTTCTCTAATAATAAACGATTATATCTGATTACAGTCCAATCTTAAAAGTGTGTTCCTTTTTTTATTTATTTACTTGCCTGATTGCAGTATGTGGTATTTCCTTAATGGACGCATCGATTTTGTCCAATAATCTATCTAATTTACGATCGTATGTATTCCACGAGATAAACAATGGGTAGATCTTGTCCAAAATTCGTTTACTAGAGTTTGATACACTGAAAGTAAGTGATTGCGATTTTGCATGATTTAGAAATACTGCTTTTAGAGATATATAAAATTGTATGGCATTAACTGATTAATCCATGAATACATATATATATATACAGCCTGGTTACAAGTAAATAAAAACCACCTTTTCAGAAAAAATGAAAATTTTCAGCCATATTCACATGAATTGATATATTTATAAATTAATTAATATCTAGTAGATCTTTC